TGCTGAGCAGGGAGCCTGACGCGGGGCTGGATCCCAGGACCCTGGGATCATGACCTGAGCCAAAGGCAGACGCTTAACGACTGAGCCACCCAGGCACCACACAACAAACATTTCCTAAGAACCTGCCAAGTGCAGGGCTTTGACGTCCATGCTGAGGATGAGGAAGACAACGGAAGCGCTGGCTCTAGACACTGACCAGCTGCATGGGGAGGAAAGACATATGCAGGCTGGAGCTAGTAAGGATGTGGAAAATATCTCTGAATGGCTGAGCAGCTTGGTCATGAGTCCTTGAGGATCTGTGTGGGGGCTGAGGGCAGTCCAGCAGGGATGATGGGGGCTTTGTGGAGGTGGGAGGATGAGGTGAGCAAAGACAAGGGTGTGGGGATGTGCAGGGCACATGTGGGACCCTACAGTGTAGGCTTACCAATAGGAAGAGGGGCAGAAAACTTCAGACGTCTAAGATCAGATCAGAAGTGCAAGGTCTTGAACAGCGTGTTGAACAGCATGTTATCCCATGAGGAATGGGCACTGGAGGTTTTGACCAAGGGACAGTGTTGGAGTAGAAAGCAGTAGTTAAGGACCAAGTATCTGGAAGTGGGGTGCACAGAATGAATTGTAAGTTGGAAGAAACTCCTGGAGCCAAGGGAAGTGGGCCAGAAACTAAGTGGTTTAGGATCCAGATGCTAGGAGCCTGGATTAGAGTAGGTATGGGAATAGGAGGACTGGGAATGGACATTGGGAATGTTATAAAGATTGCTTGGGAACTGGTAGCTCATTTGCTATGGGAGGGAGGGTGGGAGAGAAAGTGTAAAACTTGAATAAATGGTACCCGTGTTAGAAATTGGGAATGCTAGCCACACACCCGCACATCCGTCAAGGGGCAGGGCTGGTGGGTAACAGACAGATGCTGTGTGGTCTCTGCCCTTGAGCAACCCTCACTCTTATCCTCAGCTCTTCCAGTAATGTCCTGAGAGCCATCAAAGATATGTCATGGAGGAAGTGCTAGAGAGCAGGGTAAAGAGGAAGGAGCATCCCATTGCCAGCCTATAATAGGTATTCACCCATAATTTCAGAAATCGTAAAATTACTAAAGGGGCTTTGGGACAAGAGGCCAGGGGCTCAACTGCCAGGACACTGAGCAAGGACATAGACCCCTGTCAGGAAGTGAGGCAGAGAAGGGATCTGGGTGCAGAGGTGGGGAATCTGATTTTGTCTGTACTGAGTTTGACACAATGGCTGGGGCCTGCACAGACAGGTAGATCCAAGCTTTGGTGAGAGGTCAGGGCTTAAGCCCCAGGCTTGATGTTTTCTTCAGTCTAATAAATATTTTTTGTTGAGGGAGAAAGGGGGATATAAAGTGAATTGCAGGGCACCATGGATCAGGGAAGGTGTTTAAAGACCAGGCAAATGCACAGAGGGTAACAGGGAAAATTGCTTTTACTTCGCCTGTTTAAAGAATCATTTAGGCCACCAATGAGAGAATAGATAAATGATGGTGTATTCACAAAATGGAAACTGCACAGCAATTACAAAATAATAAACAATTGCTATGCACACAATATGCATGAATTACACAGATGTAATTTTGAGCAAAAGAAATGAGACCAAAAAATACATATATGGCTCCATCTGTATCAAGTTCAAAAACAGGCAAAATAATACATCAGGATAGAGACTAGAATAGTGGTAACTGGGGAGCAGGGCAGGTATGGGTGGGAAAGAGGTTTTGGAAATGTTCTAGAATAAGGTCAGTGATGTATACATATATAAAAACTCATCAAACTGTACATTTCTGCATATAACCACATACTTTGTGGCTCAATTTTTGAAGTCTTTAAAAAAAAAAAATGAACATGTCTTATCTATTGCTGCATAACAAATGACCTCAAAACCTAGCAACTTAAAACGACAAGCATTTATCATTTCACAGTTTCTGCGGGTCAGGAGTTTGGAAGGAGCTTAGCTGGGTGGGTCCAGCTCAGGGGCTTCTCAGAAGGTTTCAGTCAAGAGGCTGGCAGGGGCTGCAGGATGATGCCCCACAGGGCTCTTGGGGGCTGGCTTCAGTGCCTCACCTTGTGGCCTTTTCCTTAGGACCACTTGGATGTCATCGCTTCATGGCCGCGAGCTTTATCCAGACCGCGCATCTGAGAGAGAGCAAGATGAAGCCACATGTCGCTTATGATTTAGTCTTGGAGGCGGCACCCTTTTGCCATATTCTCCTCATTCGAAGCAGGTCACTGTGTCTCACCCTCGCTTGAGAGGAGAGGAATACAGCTCCTCTTGAAAGAGCATGGAGGATTTGTGGGTCTAGTACAACAGCCTAGAACTACACAATGCGGTGCCCTCAAGTGTTTGAAGGTTTGGAAGTCCAGGGACAGGCTCTGGGGAGTCCCCTGTGGTAGGTGGAATAACAGCCCCCAAAGATGTGCATGTTCTAATCCCCAGAACCTGCAAATATGTTGTATTATGTAGCCAAGGGGAAGCAAGGTTGCTCATCAGCTGACCTTGAAGTAGGAGTAGGCTGGCTTATCCAGGTGGGCCCAGGGTAATCACAAGGGACCTTACCAGTGGAAAGAAGAGGTGGAAGAAGAATCAGAGTCAGAGTGATGCAGAATGAGGGAGACTTGGCTGGCCATTGCTGGCTTTGACCATGGAAGTGGCCATGAGCCAAGGGATGCAGGCACAGCCTCTAGAAGCTGAAAGAGACAAACAGATTCTCCCCTAGAGCCTCCAGAAGGAATGCAGGCCTGCCAACACCTTGACTTTCGCCCCATGAGACCCATTTTGGACCCAGCTTGCATTGTCGTAAGCCATTAAATGTGTGGTAATCTGTTATGGCAGCAATAGGATGTGAGCAATCTACACCCACCCTTCTTTTTCCCATTTCTACATCATTTTGCTTTCATCACATGCTATGATTATTGTCCTTATTTGTATATGGTCCATATTTTTAATAAACATGTTTACCATGTCTCCTTTAAAGCTATAAGCTCCTTGAGGGCAAGGCCTAGGTTTTGTTTTGGGTTTTGTTTGTTAAATGTATATCAGAAACCCAAGGGGCACCTGGGTGGCTCAGATGGTTAAGTGTCTGCCTTCGGCTCAGGTCGTGATCCCGGCATCCTGGGATTGAGCCCCGGCATTGGGCTCTGTGCTCAGCAAGGAGCCTGCTTCTCCCTCTCCCTCTGCCTTCTTGCCTATCTGCCTGCTTGTGATCTCTCTCTCTCTGTGTCAAATAAACAAATAAAATCTTAAAAAAAAAAAAAAAGAAAGAAAGAAACCCGATACATGGCTCATTATTATGTGGCCATTAAGAACGTGGTCAATTATTCACTAGACTGGCTAAAAGTCTAAGCAGCCAACTTAGCAAAGAGATGAAACAAGAAAGCTGGTGTGAAATAAAATATGGAATCCTACCGATTCCTCCTCCATTAAACTAAACCCGAAGAATCCACCAGATGACAGGAGAATTTATTGAGATACTGTTTTCTCTGTATCTTTTTTTGCTCTCATTTCAAGCTAGTGGCCAAGTTAGGGGATTTGGGGCAGGACACAGAGTGGAGCAGTTGGAGGTCACCGGCTCATCCCACTCTTGAAAAGGCCTAAGGCCTTTGAAGGGATATGTCTCTTTTGGGTTGGGGGACAGGATACCATCAGGAGGGTGGGGCAGGTGGATTCCCAGAGCCCACGAAGGGGATGAAGTTCCTAGGAAAAACGGGGCCCTGAGTTCTGCCCAAGATAAGACCTCAAGGGAAGCAGTGCAGGCTAGACCCCAGGCCCAGGGGTCCCCCACTCACCCAAGATTCTTGGGTCTCGCCACCCTGCACATAGTGCAGGAACGAAGAACACAGAGGGAGAAGGTGCGTAGGGCCACGGGGGTCTCTGCTGCAACCACACAGACAAGCAGCTGTTATCCTTGGGGCCTCTCCCCTCTTTGGACCTTGGAGACCTTTGCAGAACCAGGCAGAGTGGAGGGGGATTGGAAGGGAAGGGGGATGACCCTGAGAATGGCCAGGACAGAATTTCCCACTGATGCGGCAGGAAGGAGAAAGAGGACTTGGAGTCTGAACTATGGGGATCTAGAACAACAAAAAAAGTGACACTCTTACACACTGAAGTTTGGGGCTGATATTCAAACCAGTGATACCTGCTTTGGCTTTAAACGAAGATTTTAATCTCCGGGTGGGGGTAGGCCTGGAGCAGGGTGGTAGGTCCGAGGGCCACAAGCCTTTGCCGTGCAGCTCGAAGTGTTGGGGCGGGGCGGGGCGGCGGGGGGGAGCCGGAGCTGCTGATGGGTTCCGCGGCGGCCCTAGGTTGGGAGCATGTCCTCCACCACATAGGGATGGAAGTACAGATAAATCAGATAGCAGCTCCAGACGCCAAGGATGACAAGGGTGGCCAGGCCTGATATGGAAGTTTTCTGCTGCTAGAGGGGGAGAGAGAGGCAGGAATAGGAGGCAAGGTCAGCTCAGTGGCCAGTGAGGCACCCCCCTCACCCCCTCCACGGGAGCCTCTGGGCAGCAGTCTCCTGGCTGGGGTCCCCAAGCCCTCCTGCCTGGTGCCATGTCCTCTACAACTGAGTGGATGAGGTGGGGGGGCAGAGTTTGCATGACCACAGGTGGGATGTGACACAAATGCAGCCTGAGCCCACTGCCTTTGGGATGATGGGGCACCCGGCTGAGACAAGGACTTCTTACGGGGGTCTACCTACCCCTGATTGTAGTTGTTCTTTAGGGCACACAACAAACATTTTTCCTGTAGAGGACAGAAACGGCACAAGAAAGATCATTTTTCCCTGGTCCAAGATGGCCAGCCTGCTGGGCACCTCATCGGGTCTTACTCTAGGAAAGGACAGAACAATACAGTGGTACTTGGGAGCAGGCACATCCAGGTTGGGTATTACTTGGGCATGGCTTCGAAATCTCCCCAGGCCTAGAGGGCAGGATCCCAGAGAGGGCTCCGGGCTAGGGAGGCATCCGGGGCCAGTAGAGGGGTGGAACCCATCCCTTCACTGCAAGAGGTAAGGGAGCGAGAGGACCCAGCGCGGGGGGGGGGGGGCGTCAAGGAGCAGCAGGAGACTGGGGGGTAGCACCAGAGTAAGGGGGAGGGTAAGGCTTCACTTACGCAGCATGGCCTGCATTGATGAAGGGAATCCAGAGGGTCCTTTTTTGGGTTTTCTAGTGCCATCATCTTCTTGTGAAGAGAAAGTGGTGTTCCATCAGCTCCATCCATCTTCTTGAGCCGGAGCTGTGGGTCTGTGTCTATTTTTCCTACCAGCCTGAGTTCCTGCTGTTCCTTTGGCCCTCTTCTAAGGGGACTGGGGATTCAGGGAGGGGCAGAGTTGGGGAAATAATTTCCAACATGACAAGGAGATAACCATAGCGTGGGTGGCCAGGGAAGACCTTGACCCCAAGCCACTGGGGTAACAGAAACCAAGACAGGACCGTGAAGAGTCTGAGAGTCCTCCAGACCTGAGGACACTTAGCAAAGTGAAGGGAGGAGATTCTTTAGGGATGAGGAAAGATGGGTGCAGGTTACACTTACAGCTTGCTGTTCTTCTGTATATTTATTAAAACATCCATCTTCTCATCCATATCCTTCTGCATTTCCTTCAAGAGAAAATTCAAAGCTAGAATGATCATCTTGAAGGGCTTTGGAAATCCTCTTCTCTTGCGTCTCTCTGCCAACCACTCAGAGATGACCTCAGCATCCTCCTTCCTCAAGAATCCTCACTGGCCTTGGGGGATACATGCCTCCTCTTCCCTGCCCCTCCCCCATTCCATGATGAGGCCAAAGCACAGGCAGGGTCATCAGGGGCTCCTCCAAAGTCTCCAGAGGAGTCAGAGGACAGGAAATCTTTTCCCCTGATCCCACACTTAGATGAGACCATTATCTGCTTTGGCTCCATGCCTATAAAATGATGGAGCTCAGAAAATAAATCTTGTGACCCACCCCTCAAAGACACTTTTGACTCCAATGTTTTGACCCCTGCACCCAGATCTTGTGCATGTACATTTGCTTCTTCTTTAACCAGATTTCTGGCAGAAATGGTCAACATAAAAGAAACAGTAGCTCAAATGGCACCTCACGTTTATCATTTACTAAGAACTGAAAGAAGAGTAAAATCCTCTTGGCGAGTTTAGATCTGTAAAATTGGATCTGGAAAACTTGGCATGGAAACAGTGGTCACAAGAGAATGTCTAAGATGGCAGATGTCATCACCGATCGTATCTGTTACGGACAAACACAGGGTTGGCTTGACCATTATAAAATATAAATGAAATATAATTTGCTTCAAAACATAATTTAATAAAAAAATTAAAGATTTGGCAAGACTTTACAGATCTGTGGTAGAAAACTGATCAAGGAATCATACTGTCTGGGTGGAGAGGATTTCAAAAATACCTTCTTGAAAAGCATTTTTAAGTGCTATACATTTTGAATAAAGTAGCTGTACTCGTAAATACAGCAAAAATATCCTTGAAGTGGAAATGCCCCCTGGGTTCAAATTATCAGAGTCAAAATGTCCCCCATTCTTAGAAGTCTCACTATTACTTCAAACTCATGTCCCAAAGTGATCTCCTTGTTTCCTCTTCTAAATCAGCTCTTTGCCACCTGTCCTTGTCATGGTCACCGCTTTCTTCTACCCATCTGGATTGCCTTTGGGGTCATGGATGCTTGCTTCTCCTTCATTCTCTTTGTTGCATCAGTCACCAAGAATATTATTTTTCCTTCGATGCATCTTTCAGATTTACTGTTTTCCTTCTGTTCCCACACCTGGTCCAGCGTCCCTCATCTTGAGTGGGGAAGTGGCTTCCTGCCTGATGTCTTGCTCCAGACGGCCCCCACCCCTGCTCTCCCGCCCGCCCTGCCCGGGGCCACCTGCAAACAGCTGCCCGCTCAGCCTTTCTGAAGTGCTGCCTCTAGCATGTTCTTTGATTAAGAATCTCCAGAGATCTCTTACTGTTTACACAACCAAGTCCCAACCTGTCTGCCTGTCTTTCAAAAGCCTTCATTATCTACTGCCTTTGTGCCCATTCTATTTTATTTCTCACAGCTTCCCCAGATGATCCCACTTGCATGACTGATCTCCCCACTGACCGTGATACACTTCACGTTCATCCTGCTTCCATGCTGTGTGCAAGCTGTTCCCTGTGCCCAAAATAGCCTCCTTTGTGCCTTTCAATCCCCAGTCCTGCCCACTAACAAAACACTGTGTTTGCATCTTAATATAGAAATAATACACGCCCTTTGTAGAAAATTTGGACAATATAGAGGAACATAAAAGAACAAATTAATCTCATCACGTAGCAATAATTGCTATTAACCCTTTTGGTATATTTCTTTCTAGTCTTTTTTCTAAATATTTACTTAGTTGGTTTTTTTTTTTTTTCCACTTAACTGAGATAAGCCTGTATAGATTACTTATATCTTGCTTTTTCACTTCTCATTATAAGCATCCTATTTTTTTAAATAAGCTTTTTATTTTGAAATATTTTGGGCTCTACTGAGAGTTGCAAGGACAGTACAAAGAGTTCCCATATACCTTTTACTCAGTTTCCCCTTAATGTTAACATCTAACTCAACCATGGCATTGCTCTTATTATTATTTTTTTTAAAGTAGGCTCGATGCCCAACATGAGGCTCAAACTCATAACTCTGAGATTGAGAGTCACGTGCTCTGCCGACTGAGCCAGCCAGGTACACCTGTAAGAATTCTTTCTAAACACTGTTTCCAATAGTTCCTAGTTTTCATTCTATGGATATACCCTAATTTATATGGCTATTCTTCTACTGTTGAAAACCATGGATTCCAGGCGCCTGGGTGGCTCAGTCGTTAAGCGTCTGCCTTCAGCTCAGGTCATGATCCCAGGGTCCTGGGATCGAGTCCCACATCGGGCTCCCTGCTCCATGGGAAGCCTGCTTCTCCCTCTCCCACTCCCCCTGCTTGTGTTCCTGCTCTATCTCTTTCTCTGTCAAATAAATAAAATAAAATCTTTAAAAAAAAAAAAAAAGAAAACCGTGGATTCCAAAGTTTTGCTATTATAAATAATCCTGTGATGAACATCTTTTTACGTATACCCATGCTAGTATTTCTGATTATTCTCACAGGTTAAATTGTGAGAAGAGGAATTGATAAGTCAAGGGGTTTGATCTTTTTTGATACCTATTATCTAACTCCCTTCCAATGTTGTACTAACCTACACTCTGATCAGCAGTATAAGAGCATTTCTGCATTGTTCTATAATTGTCATAAGTTAAAATTTTGCTTATTTGGTCGCCTGGGTGGCTCAGTCGGTTAAGTGTCTGACTCTTGATTTTAGCTCCGGTCATGATCTCAGGGTCCTGGGCTGGAACCCTGCGTCAGGGTTCAACTCTCCCTCTCTCTCCATGCCCTCCCCCCAGTGTTGTACACCCACGCTCTCTCTCTCAAATATGTAATTAAAATCTTAAAAATTTCACTTAGTTGAATGTGACAATGACCTAAGAATTGTTTTCATTTGGCATTTAATTGATTATGCACAAGGTAAACGTTTTAAATATATGTGTTGCTTTTTAGTTGTATTCTCTTTTGTGGTTTGTTCATACCCTTTGCCCATTTTCCTATTTGGTTCTTATTGATTTGTGTGAGCTTTATATGTTACAGATAAAAAACTTTTATAGATGTTTATTGTATTTGTAGAAAATTATTTCCCCCAAATTGTTGTTTGCTTTTTAATTCTGTTTATGGTAACTTCCTGTTACGATTTTTAAATTTTTATATTATTAAATGTATCAATATTTCCTTTGTGAGTTCTTCTGTTGTATTTAGACCATCCAGTTAAATATTTATATATAATTTATTCTTATTGGGTTTCATTATTTAAATTCACTTTATGGACTATTTCAGTTTTTACAATATTAACTGAATTAAGTTTATCTTCATATAATCCAGCAATGTTCTTAATATGAATACATAATCCTTTTCTTCTCACTAACATTTTAAAAATCATCTTTATTATCTTTTAAATTTTATGGAACTGCGGTTCCCAATCTTGAGTGTGCAATGGAATCACCTGGTGATCTTTAAACATACTGATGCCTGGACCTCATCTCAACAGGCTCGGATTTCGTTGTTCTGGGGTGCAGCCTGGGTAGAAGGTCAAAGCCACAATACAGGTGATTGCGCTGTGCAGCCAAGGTTAATAGCTACAACTAAAGTGTTTAGGATCTGGTTGTTATCCAGGGGAAAGCATCAGAATCGCTTTGAGAGTTTTAAGCAACTGTGGCCCACCCCGGAGATTTTTATTCAGTCCATCTGGGCCAGGGACTGGGTATACTGATTTTTAAATCCTCCCAGGTATCCCTGGTGGAGATGTTGTTACAGGGTTATCTACACTGGTTTTGTTCATTTGGCTAGTTATCTAGACAAGATTATTGTGGCTTTGTATGAATTTTATATATCTGACGGGGGTAGTACCCCCTTGTAACTCTTCAAAATTTAAAGATACCTGCCTTTGCCTATTTATGCTTCCACATCAGTGGTTCTCAAATTTTCATCTGGGGAATGTGAAAAAAATCCAAGGGTCTAAGCCCCCTCCAAATAGGACCTGGGCTGTATTTTATTTATGCTCCAGGAAATTCCAGCACACATCAAGGTTTGAGAACCACTATTCTAGAGTCTAGATGGTCTCCTTAGTAATTGTTGAGTTCAAAACTAATCTTATTGGGCTTTTGGTTAGATTTGCATTAAGCTTCCAACGTAGCCTTCAAAGCTCACCTTAAGATTCACTTTCTTTGTAAGGATTTGTCTGGTTACCCTAGCCCACATTCATTCCTTATTTCTCCAGACTCCTAATTAACTCCAATTATCATGTAGCTTGGTACTTGCTATTTCCTTCTTTCCAGAGAGTTTGGGTCTTCCTACTAGACTGTAAGTGGCTACAGGGCAGGGTCTAGCATCTCCTTCTGTATTTTCTAGTATGGTACCGGCCCATGGAAAGGGCTCAGTAAATACTCACCTTCATAATCTCCACGAATTCCTGGAGTTTATCAAAATCCTTGTCCATTACGCCCTTTATCTAATGAAGAAGAAAGGCACAGCACATATTACAACTTTGGAGCCGTCTCAGTGGCATTTTAAAAAAGGCAGCAGCTGATCCTCTGGAATGAGCTGGATAAAGCTCAAGGAATGGACGTGTCGTGGCCTATCTAAGCCTTTTCTTCCCATGGAGTCTACGAAGGGATGAGGATACATGTAGCATGAAGCCTCCCACCCCCCACCAGCCTTGGCGGGGCTTAGATCTAGCTACTGCGAGGCTTCTGAGTGGAGCTCAGAGCTCAGACCACAGCTTCCTGTACACCTCCTTGCTTATGCACTCCCTCTCTTCATGAGTTTGCCATAGGTGGTTCCATCCAAGAAGCAACAAGAAAGTTCCTTCTCTGTGGCATAATCAAGGGGGGGAGTGGGGTAAGGAGAATGGAACTGGTCTGTGACTGCCCCCACTTTCCCGTCAGTCCCTCTCACTCTGTCACTAAGGTTCTATCTCCTCAACCTTCAGTGTGACACCTTAGAGAGTTCTTGGCGTTGAAAACCTGGGTTTAAGCATCAAACAAATAAGAACTAGATATCCTAAGCTGCACAGCACCGAAACACTGAAAGAGATCAGGCTGAGTTAGGTTGAGGCTTTTTCCATGCAATTCCTGATTCCCCTCACTATTCAGAGTCCAGCACTGCATTTTCCTGGGTGCTACCCTTTTCCTCCATGTCCTGAAAAGTCTCACCCTGTTACCTGTTTGATCTCGTCCATTTTTTCCTTGAGCTCTTCCCTTACCTCCCTGAGTTCATTCTGGGGAAATAAAACAGGGAAGAGAAGGAGTAAGGAAATGTCTTGGATGGAAGGAAGATCCTGGGGCATTGCTAATGAGGAGGAACAGAGAGGTGGCTCCCGCTAGTGGGGGAGGAAAAGATGCTGTTAAGAAAATGGGAGAGTGGGACATGGAGACATCATATGCCACCCAATAAGATGCACTGAAGGGCATGCCTTTTTTCCGTGATGTGACCCCCAAAAATGTGCAGCCAAGTCTAATCACCGGGGAGCATCAGACCACCCAAATGAAGGGTCAGTCTGCAAAATAAATGACCTATAATCCTCATAAATGACAATGTCCCAAAAAACAAAGGTTCAAGGGCTATTCCAGATGGAAGGAAGCTAAAGGGACATGGAATCTAGAGACCATGTGTGGGCCTGGATTGGATCCCACATCAAAACAGTTGTTTTTCTTGTTAGGAAAGACCTTAGTGGAACAATTGGTACAAATAGACTAAGTACTGAATCAATGTTCATGTCCTGACTTTGATATTTTGATCACTGTACTGTGGTTATGTAAGAGATTGTTCTTGTTTTTAGACAGTATACACTGAAATTTGAGAGAAACATGCTCTCAGATGATTCCTATATTATGAAATATATATGAAACCTATATTATACATATGTGTGTGTGTGAATGTATATATATAGAGAGAGAGAGAGAGGGGAGAGAGAGAGAGAACCCTGATCAAATGTCAACATTTGGGAAATCTGAGTGAAAGGTACACTAGAATTCATTGCCCAATTTTTTGAAAATTTTCCATAAGTCTGAAATTAGTTCAAAATACAGAGTTAAAACAAAACAAAAAGCTGCGGAGGGAGTAAAGCCATGGGTCCTGGGGCAAAGCCCCAGACGCCAGCAGGGGACCTGCCCCAGCCATGGGTGGGGGGCCCACATCTCGACTGTGCTCTGCCGCCCCCGTCCCCTGGGCTGGCACACCTACCCTTAGCTGGTGCGTCCCTCCTGGTTTGGTAAACGGCCCTTCTTGTTTTACTCCTTTGTAGTCATATGTCTGTTGGTGGGAAGCAGAAACACAGAACATTGGAAATCGCAGGTGTGGGGTGGACGAGGCAGGAGAGATCCCCCTGAGGTTCCGTTCCTCCTTTCGGGCTGGGGCGGAGGTGAGAGCTGGTGGCCCCGCCTAGGAAGCAGTTCCTGCCACCTTCTCCTCTCACTCGGAGCTCATCACCTCATCACGCCACTGCCCTCCTGGCCCCCTGAACAGCCAAGCCCATTCCTGCCTCGGGGACTTTGCATGCGCTCCTTCCTCCGCCCACAGCGCCCTTCCTCAGGCTTCATGCTGAGCCCAGGGCCCTGCCTCCCTATTTTAATTCTCTGCCTAGCAGGTGACACTACTGAGTTTTCCTTATTTATTCTGTGTCACATTAGTTACTAGTGTGAAGTTCTGTGAGAGCTGAGAGCTTGTCTCTCTCGCGTGTATTCCTCAGCACCTGGGACAGGTCTTGGCCACCAGGAACAGCAAATGACCCCTGACTCCAAGTCACCTCCCCACGGGTCTCAGGCCTGGCTGCCGGCATGGCCTCAAAAAAGCTTCTTACTTTGGTCGGCTCTGGCTTCAGTTCCAGGCACACTGCCTTATAGTTCTTGTTCTGTGGAGGGAGGAGGTTGGCAGTCCACCGCCTGTCAGGCATCAGGACTGGGGAGGAGGGGGATCACACTAGCCCTCTCGAGAGGCCCCCCGTCCACCCCTGCCTGTCCTCCTGCACCTGAACTCAGCGCCCGCCCCCCCACAGGACCTGAGTCAAGACACCCCAGACCTTGTCAGCTTATCTTCCTTTTCTGAGCACGCACCTGCCCGGTCCGCAGGCCTCCTTCTCCCTGCTGGGGGCCTGAGCAGGGAAAGCCCTTGGAGATAACTTTATGGAAACCGCGTGGGTATTATTTCAGGAGCTCAGGCTTTGGAGACAGACGGACTCACACCCTAACCTCAGCTGCTTGTGGCTGTGCCACCCGGGAGGTTATTTACTCCCTCTGAGCCCCCATTTCTCATCTGCAAATCGGGGGCACGAATCGTATCATCTAACAGGGTGCTTGTGTGCCATGGACGTGCCCTTCAATGGGGCCTGGCATGGGCCCGGCCGGGGACGCGGCTACGGGGGTGGCTAGAGGTGCTGGGGCTATTACGTTGCTCTTTGTCCTGCAGGGAGTCAGCAGAGGCCTCTTTCCTTCCCGCCCCCAGGCCACGGATTAGTCCCACCCTCCTTCCGGGCTGAGAGGCCACTTGGAGCTCAGAGCAGAGAAAGAAAAGCCAAGAAGGATTCATCAGAGAGCTCTCTGTACCCCCCACCCCCACCCCACGGCCCCGGCCAGCAGGAACTCGGAGAGGCCCCACATTGTCCAGCAGTGTTTCTCCTTTACCAGGCTCGTTTTCTTTAGTTCTGCCTTCTTGGCCGACATGATGGAGGAGGCCAGAGTGTTCTTTAACTTCCCAACCTCCCCACAATGGGCCCCTGTGACCAGGCCACTGTCCTATGCAGATTACAGGCCAAGGTAAGGGCAGGATGACCACCTCTCTGTGTGCGGAACAGCTGAAGTCACAATGCCCAGGTCCCGCCTACTGGCGGGGAGTGTCACCACAGCTTCGAGCCGAGGGGGCCTCAGCCACTGCGTGAGGGACAGGGCGGGTTCCGAAGCCACGAGGTTTCCCTCCTGCAAGGGGGAGACGGGCGCTCCTGCAGAACCCCCTGCTGAGGACTGGCCTCGTGCGGAAGGCACACCTCACCAGAAGTAAAAGCTGCTGTCTCCTCTCCCAGCGGGACTTACCTACCAGGAGGTATCTGCCCCAAACTGCTGGTTCTCCCCCGAGTCTGCACGAGGTTCTGCCCTGATGTCCCCATGTGGACAGATGCTTCCTTGGCTCCGGAGCTGTCTTGGGTTGAGACCCCACGAAGTCCCTCTGGTTCAAGGTGCATGTACCGTGCTAACCTGGGGGGGGCGGGGTGAGGGGGTGCCAACCCTAGCAGGATGGCTTCTGACACCCTGGGCCACCTGCATGGCTGGCCCTGCCCCTCTCCCCTGCACCACCCCAGTCCCGTCCCTTGGTTCCTCTATCATCCTGCAAGAGGGTTGGAGCAAGAAGCAAAGCGTGGACAGTGCTGACGATGAGAAACGTCTGGGGGTGAGGAGGATACTGAGGCCATTCTGACGGGGGGTTGTAATTTGTGCCTGAAGAGTCCAAGGATCCTGGCCTCTCGTGGGACCTAAAAATCATTCAGCATCTGGCTTGCGAGCCTAATTTCTCTTTTCTTGGTATTCTTGGGCATTCTACCTCCTCCCCTCTCATTTCAAGGACCAGCAGCAATCAAAACGGCCAACGTGCGAATTCTGAGGACAGACAGCCCAGGGGCGCAGAAAGGGCCGCAAATCGCATGGGCAGCTGGGCCCTTGCCCTCCCGCTCACACACCGTGAGCACCTGTCCCTCCCAGAGGCTGGATCGCGGGCACCTCCCCGGGAGCCATGGCATTTCTCAGGGGCTTGTAACAGAGCCCCCCACCTGCTGACGGCCGTTGCTCATAGTCCCATCACAACCAAAGGAAGAAGTGTCTATCACTCTCTTCAGCAGGGGAGAGGGGTGGTGAGCTTCCTAGGCGCCTCTTCCTGCTAGTCAATGAGGGGAGAAACTTCCAGGTTCCAGGTACTCTGTCCTCTCAGATCTGCCGGCCACAGAGCAGGAGGGCCCTCTCTCCACAAGTTCCCAAAGATCCTGCAGCCTTGAGCAGGGAACCGCAGGGAAAATGGCAGACTCCATCTCAACATTTACCAGCCCCGGTGGAAGTGGGCACCGTCTCCTCTTGGTCTGGGCTTGAGATCCTCCTGGACCTGCAGCAAAGTTTCCTCTGCTTGGCTGAGCAGCTGCTAAATGCGCCTCCTGCGAGCCAAGCATAACCCATGAGCCCACTGGCCTGTATGTGGGGAAACTGGGTCTAAAAGAAATCAGGGTCTCGTAAAACTGCTTTATAAATGATACATCTATAATTCTCATCATTGAACAGGTGATAACAACTGACCCGCGGCTCCCGGCTTTTGCCTCCTCACAGCATGTACTAGTCACGCGTCCAAATACATCACTGTTGTTATCAGTGCGTTCTGGAAGGGCTGAGGAAATCCATAACCTCGTATTATTTTCTTCTCCTGTGAGATTTTGCGATGGCATGAGGCACCATCGTGACACCGGATATTGCTCTGATGGAACTGGGTCTATGCAAGCCATAGGCTGCTCTTACCTGAAGAATGCCAGGTATTCCTTCCCTAAACCCCCTTCATGGCAAAGCTCACCGGGACAAGGGCAGGGAGCACAAAGCCCACAGATGTTCCGATGCGAGTTCGGTGGAAAAGGGGTATTTACAACAGAGAGAAAGCAGCGGCCACATGTCTCTTTTCTCCAAATTGTGTCAATCGAACTTTCTTTTCTTTACAAAGGTTTTGGTTTTCCAGTTTTATGAAGAGAACGTTGTATGGGAGGCTGGTGGTGGGGGAAGGAGAATTTAAAAATAGCCTGGGGCCTCTGAGTTTGGCCTCTTGTGATTCCAGAGATGACCCAGTGTTCCAAAGCCCTTTGATGAGGACAGAATGTTTCATAACGGTGCCTGGAAGCCTGGCAGCTGGGGTCTCCAGTCAACCGTGGACTGACATGATTCAACACAGATGACCTGGACAGTTCACCCCACAATAGCCCACCAACACACTGAGCGTCTGGGCTCTCTGCTTCCCGGCCCCAGGGAACCTCTCTCATACGTTTTTTGGAGCTTTACTGGGATTGGTTACTGCACTGTCCTACTTGACTGACTTACAGACATCTCAGAAGGCTCTCCACTGTGCCAGGGGAGGTCTGTCACTGACACATTCGTTACTATGCAATTTCTGATCATTTCTATAAACATTGTGTCAGACCCTGGCTAGAATCATAATCCTATTACATTGTTTCTATGAAAAAAGTACATCTAGTTTCTATCATGAATTTCTAGTACCTCTATTTCAGGAACAAAATATATTCTGGGGTCGCCTGGGTGGCTCAGTTGGTTAAGCATCGGACTTCGGCTCAGGTCATGATCACGGGGTCCTGGGATCGAGCCCTGTGTAGGGCTCCCTGCCTAGTGGGGAGTCTGTTTGTCCCTCTCTCTCTGCCCCTCCCCTGACTAGTGCCTGCTTTGTCTTTCCTGTAAAAAAAAAAAAAAAATCCTTAAAATATATATATGCATAATAGTCTGAACAGATCATTGTAAATCTCCAGATAATTCAATACAGCTAATGAGAAGTAAAAAGTCAGAGCAAATGTGTGAGGATTGCAGGCTTTTTTTTTTTTTTTTTACCTATGCATTCCCCATGACGGGGACATGTTTGCCAGGGCCTTCCAGGACCCAGGGGGACTTGTTACAGAACAGCCTGCTGTGTGAGATAAAGCAAGAGCCACCAACAGTCAGAGGCTCCCTTTCTGCTAAATATGGCTCCTGGGACCTCCTTACTTGGCTGGCCTCCCTTTACTCTCTTTGGATGGAGTCCAAATAGAGGACAGCAATTATACTCTTGCCTATTTTGGCATCCCTGCTCAGAGATTCTCTATGGTTGCTACCCCAGACCCTAAAAGCCTCCTCTCTACCTCTGACACCTCCAAATTCCATCGATCACTGAAGCCATACACCTGAGCGGCACAGTGGCCTCTCTGGATTGGCCTTCTGGGGACTAGGGTTCACAAGGGGTACATGGAGGATCGCAAATGGCAGAGTTCTGTGGGCTAGTCCTGAGAGCAGCCTGCACCACACTCGCTCCCACTTTTTTGGCTAGAACGCAACCACAAGGCCACACCTAACTGCAAAGGAGGCTGGGACACGCGGCTGAGTTTCTCCCAGGAACCAGAGGAAATAGGCTTAAGGAGCAAGTAGCCAAGCTCTCAGCTTCTTATACCATCAAGACACCTTGGCTGGCCTTTTCGTTGCAAGAGGTTGATAGCATGTTATGCTGTATGTTGGTTCTGCAGGGAGTGCTTTCTCCAGAAATGTCGTTCAGCTGCTAGGGAAAAATCTGCAAGCCTGCCCATCTTCTTCCTACAGAAGAGCTGTCTGTCGCCCCGGCTCCTCTCACCACGGGGCTCTGGGGTGCTCCTGGGCCACGTGACAGACAAACACTCTGGGGCCCTGGGCTCCTACTTGAAGCTGAGGGAGGGAGGCGTTAAGTGACATGGCTCCTCTGGGTGGCAAAACTCATGGTGAAAATCACAGCACAAGGGAAGACAGCTTGGAAGGAATCAAACACCAAAGCAAGCCACACTCATTTCCTGAGCCCCCTAAAACACAAGTGTTCATTTACTTTTGTCTAATTATTGATCGAAACAAAGTGATCCCCTTCCTTCTCCCGCCTCTAGAAACCATGACCACAACAACCCAGCCAGAGGACCGTGAAGTCTGGGGCGCGCCTGGATCTCAGCCCCACACCTCACTCACAGACTGCTCATCCAGGCTCCGGGCCAGCCTGGTTCTGAGCAAGCAGCTCTGGTTCACTATGTTGGGGGGCTCCATACTGAGTCCCCTGTTCTTTCAGCACACGCTCACTGAGCACTTGCTGCGTGCCAAGCACGCTGCAGGGCACCAGGGACACAGAGACAGCTAAGACATGGTGCTGGCCCCTAGGAACCCATCGGTCATGCGGCTGACAGAAGCCTCCATAGAATTGCACTTACAGTACAGTCAGTAGACCCAGGAGCTGAGGGAGCCCAAAGGAGAGGCCTGGCCCGTTCTTGGAGCTGGTTCTCTCCCATGCTCTTCTGGACCCCAATCCCGGCCTTGTGAGCTTCCCAGTGCCCTGGTTCCTCTAGAGCCAGATTCTTTTCTAAAACTGAGCACAAGACCCACGTTACCCACCACATGCCTGACTTTCCTAACGCCAACACCTGTCCGGTCCTCTGAAGATGACGCGTTCCCTCTACCGATCAGGGGGACCACCCTGTTGGGGATGGTCATCAAAAGTTGACCCCTTCGCTTATTATACCTGCCACCTGCTAACCTCCTTGGCTGCCTCCTCCTTCCATCTCTCCCTGCCCCGAGTACAGGGGCTGGTTTCAAACTATACCCAAGAAGCTCCCAGGAGGATTACAAACCAACCATGCTGGGCCCTAGGTGGTGTTCACCCGTCTCTGGAACATCAGATGGGTCCTCCTTCCAGCATAGAGAATGCCTAGCCTGTCCCGGCAGGTGCATCACATACCAAATCAGCTTTCTCTACTCCATCTGGCCCAAGTTCACCTCCACCTGGCCTTGTCACTAGATATAGCGGTTTGGACAGTACTTAAATCTGCACAGCCCCTAACAGTGTAGAACAAGGTGTCCTCTGAGCTGTGTGGGTCAAGCTCATATTTCACCATGTCAGACTGTGTGCAGGTAACATATTCTCAGAGGTGCTGTGG